TGATGTGAAACTGAATTTGTGACATTTCCTTCTTTATGATGTAATTATAGTGTGACTGTTTAACTTTTGCACAGATTTTCCTGCTGAAATAGTTTCAGATAATTATCAATTATTGCAACCTGCTACATCTGACATTTTGGATTGAAGAATAGACTTTTGATGGCTGTTCTCTCTACGCTTTAGAGCAGCCATTGTTATGTAATCAGATCGCTGTTATACTAACCCAGAGGAACTCTTTATATCTTGGAGTTATTTGTGTTTGTTTGTTTCTTTACTTATTTATTTATTGCAAGACAAAACATTAACAGAATGCAACGAGGAGACATAAACAGTGAATAGAGGACAGTTATCAACATTTTGAGGAACGAGAAAACTAAATGTTAATTGTATATCAATAGATATGAAGTTGCAAACAAAGATAACAAACAGGAAAAAATCAAACACAAAATGTTGACTTAAGGATGGAAGATCTGTCTAAAATATTCCTGTGTGCTGTAATACGATTTCCCTTCATTGGAGCTGAGGGGCCCAAACGGGTGGAGAAAGTATTTTTGGATGTAAAGCGTGTCAGCTGTTTGTGAGTGAGCTGAATGTTGTGGCCTCACAATCTTCTTCAGTTTCACGGAGATGCTTCGCTATTATCTCCTGCTGCCTTCCCTCATCAATTATACATCACGGCTACAGTTCACTGACCCGCCATACTGCCTGAGTGGCCTTGCACTGCGTGCGTGTGTGTGTGTGTGTGTGTGTGTGTGTGTGTGTGTGTGTGTGTGTGTGATAGAGAGAGCCTGCCCTGTATTAACTCCCTGCCATACTTCACTAAACCTGTTGTTTTCAGTGCTGCTGGCCACCAGTTTAAAATACCTCAAATCTTAATATTTGGATATTATGTCCCACCAGCATCAGTGGACAGTTTCATCAAGTTTGTTTTACCGTCAGATACACGGTGAGCTCACCCAACACCAGCTTCACTGGAGTCTTGTTCTAAAGTACTGAAGTGCTCAAGAATAGTTGTGTCTATGTTATGGGTCTTATTTTGGTAGTTTTTTTCATTATTTTGTTTTGACCAGGCAGCAAGCTCCAGCTCTAAAAAGTGAAGGCAATGGGGAAGTGCTTTAGGCTTGAATTCTTTCTACTGACCCTCAGGGCGACTCCTCTGGTTACAAAAAACATGTCTGATTGTATAGAGGTCTATGAGAAAATGACTCTACTTCTGACTTCATGTATTCCCTCAGTAAACATTGAAAACATGAGTTTATGGTCTCAACCGCAAGTTTCAAGTCTGCAATACAGCATGATGTTCATTTGGTAAATTATGGTCCCATTCTTATTAAATAATAGACCATGAAACAACGTATACTTCAGGGGCGGGGCTACCTGTGATTGACAGGTTGCTACCAGAGTCGTATATGGTGTCTCTACGTGACTCCTCCGCAGTCCAAATATGGTCACTTCCGTTCACTGGTTGCAAATAAACCAAGATGGCGACGGCCAAAATGCCGAAAGAGATGTTGTATTACTTACATGTCAAAATATCATATGAAAGAATTACTCAAGTTTTTTTTCAAAAACATAAGAATCTGAATGTGACTTGAAGTAAATTAGGGAAATAAATGGGGAAATATTGTTCTATATTTATTCTATTCTGATTTGATTTTCTAGTGCAATCAACTTACAAACATCTCATTGATTATGTACACAAAACATTCAAGTCAGAAGGCTTTGAACATTTTGTTTTCAAGTGATATTTCAAAAATTGTGGATATACTGAGTAGATATATATAGTAGTATGTACTTAATTGATATGAGTTAACCACTGATGAAAAGTAAAAAAACTTGTGACGGCTGAGCAAGTGGCTCGCAGCTAACGGTGCTAACAGTGCAAATGACAGCAGCAGTGATAACGGAGCTAACAGTGTTTAAATGAGGGGGATGGGGGCTACGCTTCTGCGTCAGTCGGGACGGCGTTGCCAGCAGGAAACACTGTATGAGCGCAGTGCAGAGCGGCTGCCGTGAGCCACCCAGGAGGAAGCTCAGCACACAGAGGGAGACTTCATCCTCTGCTCAGGTAGACATTACTCCTCTGTATATCTTCACAGAGCAAATAGTTGTTGAATGGGTTAAATTAAGATGTCAGAAATTCCATTTTTCCACTTGACTTCCAGTACATACATGTTGGTGTAAACTCATCGTGAATGTTTATTCGCACCAATTTGATGAATAAAGTGACAAAAAAACACGTAAGTTTCAAATGTTTCCAAACAAACACATTTCTTCATTGTCAATGACTTAATGACTCAAAATGTTTACAAAATTGAAGCAGTCAGTTATAAAGGCTTTTATACCAAAAAAAAAAAAATCTGAATTTACATCCTTGTTCTGATTCACATTTAATTAAATGTTCTTGTTAAGAAACTTATAAAAATATAAAATCCGCTACATCAGAATTGTTCTTTAATCAGATGAGAGAGAAACAAGAATATCAAACTACTTGATTGCACTAAAGGAAAAAACATAACAAAGCTGACATCATAGATCCTCTAAGTAGGCAGAGATAGTGTGCATGATACAACATGTGAGAGTGGACAAAATAATAAGAACCCTCAGAAACATCTCAGGAGTAAAAAACAGTTTGATGAAGATTACCATTTTTAAATTTGTTCGTCTCTGTTGATTTATCTTGTTCATCATTTTTGAGGCTAGTTGACCCTGCTAGTAGGTCGTGCAACATCTGGAACAAGTGAGTTTCTGTGGATCTGGGGTGTCGGCTGGTCGGCTGTGACTCCTAAACTTCATCACTTTGAATCCCTGAAACCCCTCCTGCTTCAGACAGCCGGACACTGAGAGACGCTGTGGTGATCCAGATGTTGCTTCATTGCTTTCTCTCCCAGCAGAGGGAAAAGGAAAAAACCTCAGCATCGAGTCTCCATCACCGTCAGCCCCCCCTTCATGTCAGCGTGCCGCAACTTTATGCACAAGTTTAAGGATAGAGATCAGTTGTGTGCAGGTTCAGAGACCTCTAGAAAGATTTCCATCGCATGGCAGACAGGATGGTGTGGATGAAGTAGAGAAGCGTCGCCACGTACGAGAAGACCTGAAGAGACAAAAGGGAACACCAATGGAAGATTTGATTGGATGAAAGGAGTCATCCTCTGAGGACCATGCATATCTACAGGATAATCCATAATAGTAGAATCGCAACACCGTACCGGCTGTTAGGCATGTGTGTGTTCGGGTGTGTGTGAGAAGTGCAAACAGGGTCTTCGTGCTAAGCTAAGCTAACCAGCTGCCCATTGTAGCTTCAGCGTACAGACATGAGAGTGATATCAATCTGAACATCTAACGCTCAGAGAGAAAGAGAGGATTTTACTGAATTTTGAAGTGTTCCTTTAAGATCATTGTGTTTTGTTGGTGGAGCTACAGATTATTCTGAAGGCTGATACAGAAAAACATCCACCAATGCTGCTTTTTATACAATACTTCAGAGCGGTTTCTCAGCTGGTCCTGCAGGTTCAGGTCTATGTGTGCATCTGTTTTTTTTTATTAGTCTGGATGAGAAAATCCTCTCTACAGTTTATTCAACATCCGTTCGACGTTAAACAACTCACCACTGCAGAGACGTCCAGCTTGTAGTTTCGAGAGTTGGTCCCGTCGTCCATCTCCAGAGTCACTTTGGCCAAAGCCACTGAAGCACTGAGGTAGAAGAAGGCCGCGATGCCGTGATAGGCAACGTCCTGACAGGCGAGTAAGAGGAAGACAAAAGAAGAACGTGAGAAAGTCTTTGGGGCGAGATCGATGTTCATCACAGCTATGTGGTGAATGTCACGTTCACTGTCTGCACTGGCAGAGAATCAAAACAAACACTGTCACGCAAAACTGGTTTGTCATGGTGACATGTTGCATTAATTTACTGTGTTGTCCGTGAACAGAGGACATCATTTTCTCTCCTTATTCTGATAAAAAAAGACAACGTGTCATTTGTCAGAGTGGTTTATCCAGCTTTAGTTTTTTTGTCTCATTTAAAGTAGTTTGGTGATGAGTCTGTGTGGAAATCTCTCTGTGGTGCGTTCAAGTTCCTCCGTTGTCTGAGAGTTAAGAATCGTTGGCTGAAAAGAAAGAAGTGACCAAATTCACTTTGTCTCAACTGCACTGATTGTTAGCAGCCAAAACGCAGCACACTGACATTAGAGTCAAACCTAGAAGACAAACAAAAAGCAATCCAAGGTTGTTATGAAAAGAAAAATCATGTTGATTTTGTAATTCTTTGCATAGAAGATACTCATCAGAGATGTCGGTGTCCTTGAACGCACCAAAAGGAAGAGATTCCAAAACTTTCTCTGCTGTGAAATCAGTGCAATGTGATAATGGAACTAAAGCAGAGTTGCCTAAACGTTGACTGTGTGGATTATCTCTCTGCAGGTTGATGTCTGCAGTCTTGAGTGTGAAGTTGTTTGGATGAGCCGTTCTTGAGAAAGCTGCGAGCAGCAACAGGCACGTTTTGAACGGGCACTGCACCAGTTACAAGAATTAACTGGGACCAATGTTTGACTGAAAGGAACAAAACAAGTCCCAATGAGGTCAATGATGATCAGGAATGAAGGGTGCAGGATTCGGACTCTTCCAGATTCTACAGTAAACAGTATTTGCTTTATAAAATGTGAGGAGGACTTACTGCTGCAGCCCAGCGGCCTTTGTTGTGATGCCCTCCCATGGCGAACACCACCAGCCAGATGAAAGTCATGATGAAGCAGAAGACAGAGACGAACATGACCCAGCCCTGAGGGTTGTGCGGCACCACCAGCGTGCACGCCACCAGGATCCAGACCAGACCTCCGAAGATCTGCAGGAACACCAGAGACTCGTGAGAGGAGATGCTGACACAGCTGAACATCGTGTCACCCCACCGCTTCTTTTGCTGCCACCAATGCTTATTGTCATTATCAATTCATCAGCTGATTACCAATTATCTATAAAATGTCAGAACAGTTTCCCAGAATCAAAGTTCAACAGCTGAAAAACCCAAAGAGAAAAATAACAAAATCTGAGACACTGGAGAAGAGATGTTTTGGCATTTTAACTTAAAGAAATGACTTTGACGATTCATTGATTACCAAAATAGTTGTGTTATTTTTATATTGATTAACTTATTGATTAATCAACAAACTGTCTCTGTTCTGACCTGACATTGTGCAGCCACTAGGTGGAGCTGAATCTGTTTTGTGTATTACAGGCCTTATTGCTTGACCTTTCAACCCTGAAGGAGGCCATTTTGTTTCCTTGCCCTCCTAAGTAGAGCGCACACTGAGGAGCTTTCATAAAAGCGTCCACATCAATCTTCTTCTGGAATCGCTTTTAGAAGCAATGTCTGTCAGTACAGCTTTTATAAAATCCCTGTATTTACATTTTCTGTTGATCACTTCGATGGGAAATGGTATTTATGTTATTAAAAGTTTTTAAAAAAAACCTCTTTAATATTGTCCAATCTTGGCTATCGCCCAGCAATCAAATGCTACAACAGATACGGTTGTAGCATGTTGTTGTTTTAACCAAGCTATGTTGCAATGCATAGCTTCGTTGTGGGTTGAAAACAGATTCCTCTATTCATTACTTGTATTTATCATCAATAGCTCTGCTACAAAGACTCCTTTTGTTTTGTATAAGTATATCAGTGATTCTCACAATACAGAAAGAAAGGACAAACGTAATCAAACGAGTGTTCATGTGCCGAGTTATGCATGAATGGAATTTACTACCAAGACATGTCACACAAGAAAACAATTAAATTCAATCAAAGAATTGTGGATCATTTTTAGAAACTAGTTTGGCTAACTGTTGCTTAAATTCCAAATGCGAGTTGGATAATGTTGATGGGTCTACGTATGCTCATATCTTTGCACATATTTAGACATTTAACACCTTCCATTCTGTCAGAATAACATGTTGTATCTTAGCTAACAAGCTAGCCACTGCATCCTGCAGCCGGCTGGTTTAGTTGACAGCAGAGTTAGGACTATGAGTTCAGTCACTGCTCAGCAGGTTGCTGGTTAACAAATAGCTCCGACGCTAACTGCTGCTAATACCACAATGTCTGCTTTTTATATATATATTTCTACACCCGTTCAATAAACAACACACAACATGTAAAATCAGACGGATTCAAAATTGTTTAAAAGGTAAAAAAAAAAATAAAAAAAATCTTGATTGAGCTATAGGCTAACAGTTTCCCCCTGCTACCAGTCTTTGTGCTAAGCTAGGCTACACACATGTTTGGCCTTTTTTCAACGGACACGTCACTACAGCTTATAAACACCCTTTTTTAGTCATTTAAATTGTATTACTATATGAAAAAAAACCTGTTCAACCTGCTGTGGCCATTTTTAGCAGTTTATGTTATTGTGAATGAGGTCTTTTGTCAGCTGATATGTTTCCATTATCCGTCGACCCCGTATTTCCAGCACAGAGCTTCGTTCACTCTACACCTCTGATGATTGACAGGCTGCATTATTCATGCAGCTCCACCAGATTCCACCTGCTCAACTGTTTCTGTGTGTGTGTGGGTCATTGTGAAAACAGCAGCAACATTCCTCCTCTATTCAGACTGTGCTGACGTCTCCTGACGTCAAATCTGCACAAAAAATGTGTTTCTATCTTTTTGCATCAATTCGTATTTTCATTCCGATCTCTCCTCCATCACGCAGGTTTATTGAATGTTATCTATTCAGTCTAACGTCTGGCTGCTGTCATCCTCTGACCCTTGACCTGCTTTCATACCTCTTTTCTTTTTATAATATTGCATTTGTCGGAACATAATTCTGCCTTTAACGTGAAAGCATAACTACAAATATGCTGTGTTCCAGCTTGTGTTTTTTTTGCTGACCAATAGCCGACCCTCGTTAACCAATCTTTAACTGTTAATGTAGCTAACTGTTAAGCTAGCGACAGCTCTGGCTCAGGCTCACTTAAGGTGTGCTGGACCAGCTATTTACCTCTAATTATTATTATGAATGCATCATTATTAATTATTTTTGTTAAACTAATAGCATTAATAGGTCAAAATTATAATTGTCAGTTAACAGTTAAATAATGAATTTATAACATCCCTATAACAACCAGTACCACAGGACCAAGCGAGAGCGTACTCTAGTCCTAATTTGGGTTTTGGTTTGTGCAAAGTTGAAGGGATTTTGGGCCGAGATCGGACCAGAGTCCTGCAGGTGTAGAGTAGTCTGTCCAATTTTGGGACTTATTATTGTGCCAAGACTTTATGTCGCCTCAAAAAGGGATAGTTCTACTTTTATTCGGAGTACATAAAAAAATAGACAAAATTGCTGCTCTGCCAAATTAGTTACATTTTAACTATTTGGGGGATTAAAGTTATGAATTTATCTTAATTCATTGTTTATGTATCACATATATTTCTGAATCCGAGCTGTGGATTAGCAGTAGCAGTTTGTGGATCATAACCAAATGTGTGGACTTTTTATTATCAGAAACATTGTAAAGGTGACGTTTGGGTGAACCGTGTAAGTTCAGTGACAGAAAACATTTAGTTCACTAAACCTCTGCATGTTCAGACTCTACACATCAGACGGCTGTTTGTTTCTCCTCTCTGAGAACATTCACTGTTTGAAACGGCAAGTTCACAGCAGACTCAGTATTCTAATTCTAATTCTCACAACGATAATATCAACCTGCCAAACAAAGAGTCATGATTTATTCTGGTTGAATAGGGAAAAGAAAGGTGGTGAAACAACTCCTCCTCAGTTTCTGCTCTCATGTTTGAACTTGTTTTTCAAAGGAGTGAAATCATTAGAGGAAATTAGCTTTTTAGGATTTAAACTTAATAACTTGTTTACATGTTTCTGCAGATGAGAATAAACATGTCCACCAGTCAGGAGCCTTTATTCTCCACACAGCAAACCAGCAACACGTTTACCTGCGTTTAACTATATCCACATTTTTCAGTCAGACTCTCTAAATTCAATTTGCTAATTAAAACTAGTTTATACGGGGATGTTTTCATCCGTGGTGGTAACAGTGACCACACTTCGCGCCCCACTGGTGGAAGGTTCCTGTCCTATAAAGCAGTTTTTAAACGCGTCCTGCAGCCTGCTGTTTCTTACCAGTTCGGGCAGGTAGAGGATGTCGGGGATGGTCGTACATATTAAGATCCCGCTGGGGAGGTTCCCCATAATGGCAGTGTTGGAGGCCATCCTGATCCTGATCCTGATCCTGGTCCTAATCTTGATGCTGATGCTGCTACTGCTGCTGCTGCTCGGACTGAAGCGGGGCTCAGAGCTGCTGCAGGTTAGACCAGGTGGAGCCGACTGGAAAAACCGGAATCTCCATCAGCCGAGAGGAGACACGCCCGGCGGCCCGCCCGCACACACCGGGGCCGCTCAGAGTGGCCGTGAGCTCCGCTGGAGGTTCACTGCAGGTTTAGAGAGACACAGACTTATAAATGTTTGACCAGCGCGACTCATTTATCACCCAGACAACCTGCAGCAGCTCTGCATCAACAACAACAAAAACAACAGTAACAAGACTAATATCAGTGGTGATGTCTTTTATTGTTTCTTGTAGATTTGATGTAAATATAAATATGCTCATAATGAAGAGAATATTTATATCAATAATAATTACAGTAATAGTCATTTATTTAGCATATTTCACTCCAAAATTCACAGAACAATAATAACTACGAACATAAAAACTCATCAAACTGAATGCAATAAACACAACCGCGATGACACAAGTTAAAACAGGAAAAGTGCTGGTAAATGAATGACTACTTTTGTTGAAGGGCTGTACATCTAAAGGTGCTGCTGCCTTATTGACCCACATGAATTTCAGAGGTCATCAGAAATGAACCGAACAAATTAAACATACAATGCTCTCGTATGTTGATGGAAAGACTTTAAAGCTACCACGAGGAACTTTCATCTTGTGTGGATTGTTGGCGGTCCCTGTGGACGAAAGTAGTAAAGTTTCCGAGCACCAGACTCCCTTTAGAAGATCTCTCATTTTGTTACAGTCTTTCCCGCTTAGTCCTGGTTCTCCTGCGCCTCCCCATATCCTCCAGTGGGCCCAGCAGTACGCCCTGGGCCTCCAGCAGCGTAGTGTCGGTGTAGGCTCCCAGCGGGGACCGGAGGAGGAGCGAGGTGAAGCTCTGCTCCTGGCCGGAGGAGGAGACGCTAAGCTCTCCACCTCCTGCATGATTTCATCTGATTTTGTGGCCCGGTGGCAACAATATAGAAATAGCCAATCTTCTTCACTGATGGTCCTATTTAGTCTATGTGTGTTTGTCATATAGAGGCATCAGTATTTAATAAAAGGTTGTTTCATAACAGTTAAAAGTTCAAACTTAGCGATATTAAACGTCTTGTATGTAAACAGGTTTATTCATCTGTCAAATCAAACTGATACGAGATGTTCGGCAAACACTTTCAGGAAAAGCTGAACTCAAAGATCATAATGAAAGTAAACAAATGTGAACTGTATATCACACTCAACGTCTTTCAATTTACACAGATCTTTAGATCTTAACTGAACACATTCTGGCCTCTGCTCTAGATGGTAAAAGTGCCTCATAAAACATGTTCTCAGATTTGATTTTCTTTCTTCTCAACTTTTTCTTACTTAAAGGGACATCAAATCAACGTTACAAGCTCTGTTCAATCATAAGCCAGTTATCGAAGTCCTGAAGTAGTTTTTTGTCCTAAAACTTTTTGACTAAAATAGAAGATACCTTGATATTTGTGATGTGGTATCATCTGATCTGACCCTGCAGCCTTTCACACCTCACACTGTGAACAACAGATCCATGGAAACAACAAAGCATCTCATTTGGCAGCCGAGCTGTCGGACAACCGCCTCAGGTAATCGCCCAGCTGGTTCTGGTTTCCAGCCGCTGTCATCTGATCCTTTCTAAACCGGGAAACCTACTCCTGTTTGAAACAACACTCTGTGGACACGAGTCAGGACCAGGCAAGACCTGGTCCACAACCTGGAACCAGAACTCCTCTGATGCTTCTCCAAACTACAAATCATCTCCAAAACAACAATTGAGACCTTTCAGCTGCTCTCATTGGCAACACAGTCTCATGTATGTATGCATGCTATCGCTATCGTAACACAATAAAACATTGATTCCACCTTCATTTATCGTCTAAACTTTTTAACATGTGTATCAGTGACCTGTGGCTTCACGGGCTAAGCTTCCAGCTTACATTGTGATGCAACCTGAGCTGCAGCAAATTCCTCCGTCTCCTCTCTATTGTCCCGCTGATGGTGTTGTCAGGTAACGGCACTGTGTTATCTAATCTTCAGCTCCATCAGCAGAGCACGAGCTCAGTGCTAAATACTTCATGATAAGATGATGAATGTACAGTCCCGGGATGCATACCTAAGCTGATCGTTGTTTTATAGTTTCAGTTAATTTGCTCTTAAAACGCCACATTCGCTGACATTTGCTTTAATATCCTGCATGAAGGATGTGACTTGCAGTTACGTTAGCAGCAGTAATGAACCATAGACTGTATATGAGAAGGAGACACCCATTGGTTTCTGGACTTCAGTTTTGAAGCCTCGAGTTTGGAATTTGGGCGTCGCCATCTTGTTTACTTTTTCAACCAGAAGAGACACGAAACGTACAACTGAACGCTGAGTACGATTTTTTTAGGAAACCAAAATGTTGCGAATACACGAACATCTATCAGACCAGACAACAATGTCATAGGGACCTGTCAATCACAAGGTAGCCCCGCCCTAAAGCATACCCTGCTTTATCGTCTATTTGACTCTAAATGGAACATAATTTACTAAATGAACATCATGCTGTATTGAAGAAGACATAGATGTTTACAATGTTTACTGACAGAATAAATCAAGAGAGAAGTAGAGTCATTTTCTCATAGACTTCAATATGATCTGATTTATTTTTGCAACCAGAGGAGGTGCCCCCTGATGGCCATTTGAAAGAATGCAAGATCAAGGCACTTCCACATTGGCTTCATTTTGTAGGACCGGAGATTTCCGCCTGTGCTGAACACAAGGAGACTGTCAAGCTAAACCCCTGTTAGCGCCCCCTACAGGCTGCAGGAGTCGTTTCATCATCCTGATGATTCAAGTGTTTTACCAGCAGTGGAGCTAAACATATAACGTTTGTCGTGAGGGTGGCGCTCAAGCAAAGGCCATTCAAATCCTAAGGGTTCATCCTCTGAGGAGCAGGACGGAGATCTGAACATTTCAAAGTAGTGGAGAGCATTATATGCTCAAGACGAAACATTTCCAAAAACTATCCAACACACGACGGAAGCTTTATTGTTTCTACCACAGTGGGTGACAGCCGACCAACACTTTGGCTACGTGAAATGTTCGTCCTGCTGTTGTTTGTGTGCTTCACTGCTGATTTAGAGTTTTCAAAGGAGGTTAACAGGAGGTTTTAACAATTAGTGGAAAACCAACCTGGCAGGTGTGGAGTCGTGATAGGTAACAAAGACTGATGGGCCCGGCTCGGCCCGGCTCGGCTCAGTAAGGAAACTGTCAGCATGTCTGGCTGCTGTTGTTCCTGCTGAGCTGTCAGCTGCTGGATCACTGAACACACACAAATACACGGCGAAGGTAACGTAATGTTGCATTGACTCTGCTCACTGTTCCTCGCAGCTCGTCTTGCGTTTGTGGGTGGCAGCGTTATCACTCAATGCTGGACCAGTTTAAAAAATGTTTGTCCCCATTAGTCACTTGGACACACAAACATGATGAAATAGGGACCAGGTTGAATAATACTCAAGTACTGTTGCTACTACAGGTCAATCCTTCAGCCGTTTAACTCTTCTATTGCTTTTAAACTACATCTTCATAAAACGGCTGATAAAAATCATCACTGGTCTGTCCAATGATAATGAATGGCTTCAAAAAAATAGATTATGTGATGTCATGAAATCTTATTTTAACGAATATCTTTGGTCACTATCCATTTGCAGGATAAGAAATTCAAAGTGGTCAGAGTTCAGAGAGCTGAAGGGAATCCAGCTGAACTGGTTTGTTTCCATGCCTCGTAAAACACAGAACGTCTGCTATCTCCTAATTTAAAGGTCAACATTCATGTTTGGAGTGTATTCAGGACAACAGAACATAATTATGTTTCAATAACATTTATCTGAAAAGAGTTAACCTTGTTCAGCTGACATCCGTCATGTTTTCTCCAAATGTTGAGACCAAACATCTCAATAATGTGGAAGGAAAATAAAAATGTTGATATGTTAGAGACGTAGAAAATAAATTGTTTCTTGTAATTCTATTTACAGAAACCTATAGTCATAGTTTGTACGTTTGAAGAGGAGAGAACCACTTAATTAAGATACACATTTAGTGTACTGGCAGAAAGTGTTTTAATGAAACGGCTACTTTATGGGCAACTTAATTGATTGCTGTATAAGGTATTTTGATTATTATATTTGTTAAGCAGCAATATATATAATCCATGATGATGATAAGTATCAGTAGCTTAGGGAGTGGATGAAGGAGGGAGCGTTGTTTGTGAAGGGAGGTTCTCTGCTGCTATGACTTTTACACATGGAGCACACCGTGCCGTTGATCATGGTGCCCTCAGGTGCCATCACAGTGTCACCTCTTTTTCTTTTCTTTTGAACTCTCGCTGCATTTTTATTTTGCTGCGATGTGACTTTAATCTCGAGAGGCAAAGTGCTCTTGTTTGTGAACTGGTCTCTCGGGAACTAGTTGAGTTTGTCCCCCCGGTGGTTCCAGAGGAAAACAAGGTGATTTTTAGATCTTAAAGAGGATCATGAACTGTGTCCAGCAGTTGTTAGAAGACAGAAGGTCGTTTTGTTGTTTCTATTTCTACTCTGGGCTTAAAACAGAGCAGAGGGGGTGTTTACTGCAATAAATACATGATGATGATGATTACAGTTTCACTGAAATAACACAAATGTGAGGTAGACCCTCTCTACCTCACATTGGGTAGAGAGGGTCGGCGGTTCGATCCTTGGCTGCTACATGTCCTGTGCTGAAGTGTCCCTGAGCAAGACACTAAACCCCTAACCGCTCCCTGGCCGTTGCCGGTTGAGCTGATAGAGACGTGATGCTGACGATATCCTGTGTGTGAATGGACCTTTACGTCTGTGTATTGCACCATGCAATTTGTTTGGTTTTGACTGGTAGGATTTTAAGGTTAGTGACCACTTTAATGACTTAAACAGAAAAACAATGAACAGCTTTGAAATGTATTAAATGTGCAGAACAACCATCAACTATATTTAAATCCCCGAAAGAAAGATCATTTAAGATACATATATCTACCAAAAGACCACTGAATAACTGGAATCATCCGGTGTTAACCCAGTCTGTTGCAACACAGAAGTATGAAACTTTAGAAACTCATGTTATGGAAATTATGTTAAAATGCGCATGTGCTTGTAAGCTGTACAAGGCATTGAAATATAATCACAGTGATGTGATGTGAAGTATTACCATGCACTGTAAAGGTAGAAGGCCTCTTTTGCACTTTATTTTGCTAGTTAGCTAATATAACCATTTTCTGCAAGCTTTTATTTTGTAAGTGCCTATTTATCTTTCGGGTCCTTTATTTTGACGCTTTTCCGGCAAAATCGGAAGTATATGCAAATCTCGTCTGAGAGTATTTCCTTGACTTCCCATGAAAAAAGTACGATAACAGACTTGTGTGCACTGAAGGAGAAAGTGTTCGTAAGATATTGCTCTGCAGTATAAGAGGTTACTTTATTAACGGTTAAGCACCAAGCTGGAACAAGAACAAGGTACAGTGTGTTTTATTGTGTTTTGTAGCCATGTTTAGTGACAGTTTACCGGTAAAAAGGTGGTCAAAGGTGTTATTGTTGCAAGAAGATGTTGCAACAATAAATGGGAAATAGGAAATGGCTAAATTGCTACACTGTAATGTTTTACTAATGCCAGGTTCCTGCCTTGTATCGTCGAATATCATTGAATGAATGGTTATTAGTTTTGTATAATCTGAATCTGTGAAGCAACTAAAGCGTTAAAATAAAGGCACAATATTTCTCAGATTAAGGCCCAGCAGAGTAGAAGTATAAAGTTGCGTAGAATGGAAAAACTACAAGTTTTGTACCTCAACATTTTTACTTAAGCAGGCTACAGTATGAGGAACAGTTAGTTTCCACTACTGAATCATATCTACCTAATGCACTTTTCATAAGGGGCTGTAGTGTCACCTGCTGGTCGGGAGCAACAGATCATGTCCCTGCGCCTTTTAGTAGAAGTATTACGGTATTTGCGCTGCACGTCCGCGGGTGTATTACCGTACGAGTGAGGACATGGCAGCGGCCAGCAAACAGCTGCAGCCCCTCAACTCAGCGTGAGTCTTCTCTGTTTTATTTAATATCTCCCTGAAACACTCGACTGTTCTTCACAACGTGGCATTCTGTCGGCTCCTAACTGAGAGTGTGTTCAGTGTGACGGTGATCTTTACATTCCTGTCTCACGGTAACACACTGTACCGGAAGCCACATGACAACAAAAAAACAAAACTGTCACATTAAAAGCGAACATTCGACCCGTTTTGTAAAGGTGTTAAATCTGATCATCTGTAGCGAGATTCGGGCGGTGTTGTACAAAAGAGAGACGAAAAACATGGCGCTGGTTTGTTCAGAAACACTCTTCAATGTCTCACCGTCTGCTTTGTATAAACACACACACACACACACACACTGTAACGACACGTACAGTGTGTGTGTGTCTGTGTGTGGTAATAACTGTGTGTGTGTGCGCGAGATCATGTCGTCCTACAGTTTTTAAATATTTAAACGTATCTCAAGATAGGCTATAGTTTATTATTAATGCTGAATGTGAAGAGACCCATCCTACTTTATGCACATTATTTTTTCCAAGTCTATCTTAAAGCACCTGCCCTGTACTGACTGTGGAGTGAATAGCTGCTTTCTCAAATTGGATTATGTTGTTCTTGTCTTGGCAGAGAGCGCATGTACTGAGACAACATGCAAGTCATGTACAGAATGAAATCGGTTTGTGGAATAAACAGTGAGGGGTATGAATAGTACATTTTATTTGTAAAGCGCTTTAAAAGGTACTCAAAGGCACTTTATATGGTAAAAACAGAAACAATAAAAGCATTAAGAGAGATTACATATGACAGTAATAAACAAAAACCTGTCTGAGGAAAATACAAAATATTGGACTAAACCGACTCCTTTTGGGAGATCCTCACTTCATTTGCATAACTCAGACTGTGAGGCTTCATATTATCTTCATCTTTAAGCAGAATAAAGACTGTGGACTTCTTCACAGCAACCAACGACTCTTTTAAAGCACATGTGGGCATGTTCGTATTGTTTTAAAACGTATTCTTTCAACTCTGGAGAACTGTTGCCTTTGGCTCCATCTTTACACGCTCGGGCTGTTTCGTCCAAATTCGTTCAATTCACAGAATTTCATATTAAATTCTCACGAGGATCCCGAAATGATTCAAAGAGCTCCAACATTTTAAGGCGAAATTCAAGGATTCTGCATTTTAATGATGCAGCCGACACCTATAATGTTTCCATTTGATGGAGTTGCTCTACTTGTGATTGAATAATACAAACTGTGAAGCTCGTCTCTTCACTAAAAGCACCGTAAGAGGACATTTAAGAGAGAAATAACAAAGTTAAGATTTATCCTTCAAGAAACTCACATTTATACATACTATGTGCACTACTAGATTCATGAATTGTATTTTGTCATTATACAGTTTTTCACATTTATGTTTACGAATACTATTGCATTGGTGCATTGTGTTTACGCACCAATCACCTCGAATGTGTAACGTACTTGGCAGTAAACAGGTTCTGATTCTGATTGGGTAAGATGAACTAAACTTGACCCAAAATGTGCAGAAGTCTTTTGAAAGACAGGGTCATTCTTTTTCACCCGATATGATAATAATCTATGCAGGGGTGTCAAACTCATTTTTAGTTCATGGGCCACAAACAGCCCAGTTTGATCTCAAGTGGGCCGGACCAGTAAAACCATAGTGACCTTTTTACAATCCATTCACAAAACAGACGATGAGCACGACTAACAGCAGACTGCTGTTTCCTCAAACCTGCCAACAATTCATTTATCTTCTCTGTTCTCAGTTGTCCTTGCAAGTTCTTGTGTTTTTCACCATGATGAGTCTGATCGTGGCGCCGAATATTATATTCCTTAAGCACTTGAAAGGTGCTGGGGACACATCAAGCATTTAGCTCTGAATGAACACTAGCTCAACAGTGTTGTGTCATATAGCCTGAACTTAAGCATGTGGGATCTATCATAGCGTTTAGAGCACAGGGCCCCGTTACTCTGATTAGGACAGTGCAACCCCCAGTGGACAGATAGGAATTGTGTTTCCTATCATTGTGTTTTATCGAAAACATTTGAATCAATGGATGCTAAGTCATCCTGTGGCCCTTTGGCCGTCCGGTTCTGGCCTTCGGGGCCGTATGTTCGACACCCCTGATCTATATACAGCCTGGCCCTTTGGTGTCAAACAGATTGGCAACAGTTGATAACTGTGAAAAAACAAAACGTCTTCTCGTCTCTTTCTACAGATACCAGAGCAGCGACAGACGACCACGACAGAGTTGAAACTCTCACCTCTGTTTACAAGAAGAAGTGCCAACACCTGACTCTTTTTCCTCAGTGCTGTCAGTTCCCGTCATCGGGTTTCACTGCTGTGGGTTTTCTAAAGAGAACTGCATGCTGGGACATAGTAAATGTTGAGCTGAACCCTCCTCTGTTCATTTCATCACCGTGTGGTTCCAGCCGGCTGTTTCACCAATGCCTCGATGGAAAACCTTCTTCATTCAGTACTTGCAATGGTCCAACACCGCCACTCAAGCCCTCGTCCTGGCCGTCATCACATTTTGCGTCGTTCTTCCTCTGTGTTGCCATCCGCTGATTTACTCGTACTACTTCATCAAGTCCATGTACCTGAACTCCATGAGTGAGGAGGTCCTGCGGGAAAGCCTCGACCGCGGCCAGGATGCGCTGCACTTTTGGCAGAGCGCCTCCACCGCATCGCCGGTGTCTCCCAGATTCAGTGACATCACCCAGCGTCCTGACCTGCTGGTTACCGTTGTGACAGCCCGGCGCAATGAAGGGCGGGACTTCCACTACCTGCTCCAGGTGATGCGTCAGCTGAGCGGCGTTCTGGGAGGCTGTGGGGAGCGGCGGTGCGCGGAGGTGTTGGTCTGCGACGTGGAAAGCGGTTCACAGGAAAACCAGGACGCCAAGTTGCTGGAGGCTCACTTCAGGGTGATCCGGCGTTCTCCTCGGGAGCAGCAGATGAACAGGGAACCAATCAACGTCTTCGAGAAGGAGAAGAGGGATTACGTCTTTTGTCTCCGCAAAGGATGGGAGCTGGTGAAGCCCAAAAACATGGTTGTCCTGGAGGACGATGCTTTGCCAAAGCAGGACTTTTTCACAGTGGTGAAGGACCTGCTGTCGCGTCGGTTTTCCCTCCAGACTCTCTACATAAAGCTGTATCACCCTGAAAGGCTGCAGCGCTACTGGAACCCAGAGCCTTACCGCATCCTGGAGTGGGTCGGACTCGGGCTGGTCGGAGCGACGGCCCTTCTCCTCACCTTTACTTACTGGAACCCCTGCTCTTTCTCCTTCACGCTGTCGGCCAGCCACCTCCTCTTCTTCACCGTCTACTTCATGGCTGCCTCGGAGCTGCTGGGGCGGCACTACCTCCTGGAGGTGCGGAGACTTTCCCCGCAACTCTACGCCGTCTCCCCGGCCACGGAGTGCTGCACCCCTGCCATGCTCTACCCCGGCAACTCCTCGCTCAGGGTGGCCGAGTATCTGGACGGCTCCTTCTGCTTCAAGGGGCACGCCAAAGACACGGTTCTGTATCGGATGGCCAGGACGATACCCGGGGAGAGTTCTCACAGCGTGGAACCCAACCTCATCACCCACATCGGGGCCTATTCCTCAGTCAGAGCCAACCCACCCAGGCCCAAGCTCCTCTGAAAGTGAGGTAACTCGGCTCAACAAGGCTGGATTTAATCAGGTTCCTCCTCACTTGGTTCTACTTTTCTTTTCTATCATGTCACATGCTGGAGTCTTCAGACATCTGAAGACATCATTTAGAGTATTGGTTTGGGGATTTGGGTGAAAAGACATCAAAATTAGGGATGCACCAATCTGACTTTTTTAGTTCCGATACGGTTGGTAGTACCTATGTTTTGGGTATAAGCTGTATGCCTCACTGTGTGGAAGTGACTGGGATCATTCTTTTATATGTAAGGCAACATCAGGCTTGACTTAAACATTGCTTTCCTAATTTTGTAAAACTAAATGTAACAACTAAATAAGCAAGCAACTTTGTAAAAAATCTTAAAAATCAATGCAGCAACAAATTAGTCAAAACTTAAACAGGAATTAAAACAGAATTATATATTATTTATACATAGAATGGATTTTAACATATCGGCCCCATTGTGACCGATACCCGGTCCAGCTATTTGAGTCGGTATCGGCCCAATATCTGTATCGGTGCTTCCCTAATGAAGATGAAAGCTAGGCTACATTTGGTTGAAAACTATTTTTGGATGTGAAGGTTGCGATTTACAGCTTGTCCACACAGGAAATGTTTTAGTTGTGTTTTTCAGTTTTCCGTTTCCCAGGTGTCTGACAAACGTTTCTATTTTAATCAATATAGCTGTCTAAAGAGGCGGAGTAACGACTCACATTTTACTATTTACATGCGTGTAAACTATTAGTAGTGGAAAGTTGATTTACCTCAACAACGTATCCGGTGAGTGACGGATGTATTTTTCCCATGTAACTCTATGGGAAAAGTGTTTTGTGGCCCCATGGCTCCACATTACGGACCCAGAAGTTGTAATTCCACCATTTGGCCACTATGTAAAATTTGCTTCAAAGCCTGCCACTCTTCCTGGAGGCTTGGCTCTTGCTAGCTGGCTACTGTAGTTAATGTTAGCTCCATGACATGGTTGGAAAGCCGTCTTTTTAATGTTTTCTAGTGGACTCGTTTTTAAAATCAGAATGTTGCAAAAAGGTCTTTAAAAAACACATTAGATTTATGCGTTAAATTTATGTTTTTTACTTAAAAAAAACAAAGCCTTGAGGTAGAAGGAGTGCTTGAAACGTGTTGGCTGGATGCTGTGGAGTAAAATCCCCAAATCTAAGAAAAATATGGATTGCGCTGCTAAACGTTAGCATAGCGTTTGCTTATCAGAAGATTTAGTAAATACCAACACTGACCAGTCTGTATCACTGAATGTGCCTTTAATGTTTTTGGCTTTGACCAGTAGTAGAGGTTTCACTCCATAACAGAATATTACCCATGATTCAGCTCTGGAGGAAATTACTCTAAAGTTGAGCAGGTGCAATGTTAAAATGCATTGAATTTTTACGTACTCGAATATATTCATGAAATGAATTGAACCTTGCAAGAATTACAGGAAGTAGCTGCCAAAGTAAAACCAAATAGTCCGATGAAAGTTCTCCAGTCTGCCTTTAAATGAATTGACTTACACCAGAGTTCAGAGTCATGTGCTCACACTGGTCTAAACCGCCAAAGAGTCTAATTCTCAAAATGAAATGGCAACAATATGATAATATGATGATGAGCACGTAGAGTAACATAAGGAAAATAAATATTTATAGTATAAATAAATATAGAAATTTAAATGAACTGAATCTGAGTGTTTCATGAAAAAACATTTGTTTACTAAAGAGTTAGAAATATTATAAAAAAGCAGTCAACTGGTATTTACATTTCATATTTTGATAAAAACATCCAGATAAATGATCAGAGCAGCTGTTCATCAACATAGTATTTAACTTGACAAAGTCCTACACACTGTTTAAAGTTTCTCTTTCTGCAGAAGTTTTATATTTGACTTCTTATTTATATTTCTAAAATGAAAACAGTTTTAATGATTCGTTTGATTTAAGTGTGGTTGTGGTTTTCTGCCTTTCATTCACTAAACATTTCAATTGAGTTTTGAATGTTTTCTGTTGGATGTGTCTTCGTGTGTTTTTCATCACGTAATTTTGTTTGCTTATTAATAACCTTTAAGAGAGTGAGAATTCATTTTATTTATTTGACATTTGACATTTGTAGACGTCAAATTATTGTCAAAAATTTGACGACCAAAGATTGATTCAGAATAAGACTTCAGATGAAAATACATTATATAAATATAACATTTCAAAATTAAATAAGATTAAAGGAACATGTGAGCTTCTGCCCTCTGAAGGATGATTCAAATTAATCTTTTTTTTCTGTTCCAAGATCACATTTTGGTTTGAAATGTTTTATCTTGACACGTGGTTCTGTTTACACCGAGACTCTTTCACTGTTTCCTACATTTTAAAAAAACAATAAATCACAGTTTGAAGTCACTTGGTTGTCGGGAAGTTTGTATTCCAGCAGCGACATCTTCTTGTCAACCAACCAGGAAGTTGGAATGAAAATTAAATGTTTGGTTCGACAGGTGACGCACTTTATTTGTTTAACCACATAAACCGCTCATAAATGAAGAAAATGGCTTTAAATATTAATATGTTTAATCAAGTTATTTCTTCTTTCATAGCTTTACATAGTAATTGTGTTTGAAGTAAAATTGTGTCGTCATCCTTTTACTCTTGTCAGATAAACCAGTTGAACAATCCCATAATAATAAACTCCTGCTTTTGCTCATCTGTCCTACAGACAAACCGATGAGTTGGTAATAATCCTGCACCAGACTATCCTTAGGCAGTATTTACGACTGCAAAGTAGTGCCATTGTAGGTTAAAAAACTTAATAATTACAGGGCCGGAGAAAAAACTCAGAAGTTCCAAGATTAAAGTCATAAATTTATGAGGATATTCTCTTGAGTTTATAGTGACAGATTTACAAGAAAAAAAGTCACAATTTGCGAGATTTTAAAGTCATGAATTTATGAGAAAGAAATCTGAAAACTAGTGGAGTTCAAAACCGTGTAACGCCAGCCGTCTGAATTTTGTTGCCCCTAAAGTAATGTTATTATGGTACAGAGAAGGTCCTGGAAGATACATTTACGTTTTCGTTCATGTTCTTTCTGTGTTCTCCGTTTACATAAATAATTACTAATATTGTAGAAGTTACAAGATAGTAGAGACGGACAACTTTATCTTTTGACCACACAAAGGTGTGTCTTTCATTGTAGCACAGCTAACACTAAAACCAACCGTTGAGAAGAGTTCTTACAGTGTAGAAAAAACTGACAATGCATAGATGTAGCGTTAGATTTGTTGCTGTATTTTAACTTAGGCCTAAGTTACATTTTATACGCAAAACATTTCTTGTAGTCGACTGTTTGGACTGTTTTTATTCTGTGATATTGCTACTTTTAAAAAATGGACATTTAATACTTATTCCACCAATGATTGTTTAGTGCCAGACATCCTGTTGCACTCCAGCCCAGCGGGTGGCGCACGAGGGAAGGTTCGCCGACCGCTAATAAACACGAAGAAGAAGAAGGACCGGAAGTTTGTCCAAGACGCGAGCAGGGCGTCGTTTTCAAAAGCTCGTTAACTGAGTTGGTCCAGCGGCTGTTGTCTTGGTGCTGTGTTCTCTACGTGTAAACAATAACACAAGGATAATAAATACTACTAATGATCTTATCCAGTGATGTTATCCTCGTGAATACACCATAACAGCGAACCGCTCCTCTCGCAGGTAAGTAACGGACCAGTTAAACGCCTCTAACTAGCTAACTTTGTTTATATTTACTTCTGTTTGACTGCTAACTGTTAGCCTAGCTCGCGTCCGCTCCTACCTAAGATCTCAATAGTTTACCAGTAAATTCGTCTTGCAAAAGAGCCTCAGCGTACTTAAATTGAATTAGTTAAATAGCAGCTGATGTAGCGTTTACGACGCTCTTTTATATTAACTGTAACTTTATATTTGCATCAACAAACGTCATATTTATATAACACTTAGGTTAACTACCCAAATGAAACCTAGAGTGCGTTACAGATTACACACAAAACAAATTATCAATACAAGGAAGCAAGCAAAAGCACACCGTTTTAAAACTAACAACTATATTTGATTTTAAAGAAAATGAATTAAAAGCTACTAAACAGATGGATTTTAAAGTCAGGCTTTAGTCTGAGCTCTTCGGTCAATTTGCTCCATATTTGAGCAGCATCACCATGTTTGTGTTGACTTGTTTGTGCATCAATAAGAACAAATATAGCATATATGTACTACTATGTTTTACGTAACGTATTGTTGAAATTATGTTTTGTGTTTTGTTTTTTTTTCCTTCAGGTTTTATGCTACCTCCTTGACTTAGGAATATTATGGACAACCTGCATTTCTCAGAAGATGAAATTGAAGAACAACTGGCCGCCCTGGGATACAAAAACATACCGAAACACCGGCTGTGTGAATTCAAGCAAGGTCCGCCTCTGAAGCATGAATGAAACTATTGTTTATGTTGTGCGTTGATGTTAAAGAAGGAATACTGGTCTTATAACTTGGACATCTCTCGTTGTGTAATGTCAGATCTTGATGACCTGGTTCGACGTGGAGAATGGAAAAGTCTGGCCTCATCCGCTCGGATAAACCCGGCCACATCTCAGCCGAGTCCTCCTGCCTTCACCAAAGAGAAAGGTCAGAGCGCCTTTACCACACCTTTCTCTAAGCAAAGCATGCAGACAACTACGTGTTGAAAAATGTCATTAAAAAGTCAGTTTAGTGTGGTGAAAAACAGAAAGATAGTCATAAAAAAACAAACAGTCATAGTGTAGTATATCAAAATCTTTACGAGACTTTTCTCTAAGCATGCCAGCAGTTATGTGTCTGAAGGATGGGTGTGTTTGATTAAGTGTTATCTAGTGAGGAGGTTTCCTCCGCTCACTCCTCCCGTTCACAGCGTGTCACAGAACTACGGTGGCCTTCAGGGAACGTAAAAAACAAGAAAGGCTCCTTATAGATCTGAAGGGTTCATTCTGAGCTAACGAAAACACAAAGATTCTTAGTTTCAGGTGATTATACACGAATGGAAAATTAAGTTATGAATATTATATTCTATTTTTACTAATAAATCACTGGTCCTGTAATTATTTTTCTTTTAAGATGTGTTGTGTGTTAACTGGTGAAGTCTGTTTGTCTTCACAGTTGGTCATTGCTACTTTCAGAGCTCTGGTGAAGGCTTTTTCTTACATGCCAGAAAAGTGGACCATGACAGACAGGTAGGTGTTAGCAACACACTACTCTACTATTTTTTTATTTTTTTTTAATACAGATTATGGGTTTGCTTGTGAACATGTAAAGTGAGAGTTTGTTGGTGTGTAATTTATGTACTTAAGTGTTTGGAGATGTATGCCAGTGCTCATAAAACTCATAAAAAGTGAATGGCTTGTGATTAATTGGCTGTTTTTTAATCTTTTATATACGTTTGTACATGTGTTCTAATTTAAAATAATTTTTTTGTGATGTGTTGATGCAGCAATGTCTCTTTCTCCATGAGAGACAATAAAGTAACCTTAATGTTTTTAGTGTCTGTCCCTCAGAAACAAGAGGGGGCAGTGACATCCACTTGCAGAGATGAAGTTTTTTGTACTCTATATTGTTTCATTTCCTATGTTTATATCTTGTCATTTTTTTACCCACCTTATTAAGGAAAAACTGGATAATTCTGTGAATGTTTGTCCCTTGTGTTCATAGGAAGGCTTGTCTTATTGTCAAACTAAATAAGAATAACCTTTAGAATGTATCATTTAACAACAGGTGCTCACCAGCTGTCAGAGCAGAGACCGTGAACAGCAGCAGGGACGCTGTGATTCGTACGCTCGACACTCGGTGGCTCTGAATCTCCGGCTGCCTCCAGGTGCTCCCAGCAGGCTGCAGGTGGAGGAGGAGGAGGAGGAGGAGCAGGAGCCGGACGAAACCCTCCACCCGCTGCTGACTGAGAGCTACGCATCCACCCCCGACTCCCACAGGGGACGTTTCATCAAGAGAAAAGTCCTCAGGTAGGTTTGGTTAGACTAACAGGTGTTCGTTTAACTCTTTCATTTAACTTTCCCGTTCATTCAATCAATCGTTTAAGTTTCAAGTTAGATTTTAATTGATGAATCATTTCAGCAGAACGTGTGACACATCGAATAAAGACAAAGATTTAAAGTAGATTTGAATTGAAACTTTTACTACAGAATCGTCTGCTGCAGAACATTTTAATTCATCATCAAGTGACTCCTCACATGAGAATAACAACTGTCAATCCACTGTTACTGCTCAAACTGTAGCTTTGTACTTTATAACATATATGCTGGAAATGTAACAATAATACTGTTGTATTGTTTCCTCCCTCCAGGAAACATAAAGGAGAATCACTCGTCTGTGATGAATCGGTCTACAGTGAAGACGGTAATCTACACGTTATTGTAATGCTTCCCACAATTCAGCAAATAAACATCAAGAAGTTATAGAATCATAAATAAATGTTGGCAAATGAAGAACTTTAAGGTAGCGGAAAACTGGACCAGCATGAAATGGGTAAAAACCAATTCCAGTCATTTAAAATACAAGAAATAAAGAGATTAAAACAATCAATTAAAAGTTTAAATTTTTAAATCACAAAGTTACAAATTTCAAAAAACTTTTCATGTCAAATCAAAAGTTCACTTCAAATATTTTTTGTCCCACAAGAATAAATAATTTTTGCAGCATGACAACGTTAAATAAAACGATATACACAATGAAAACTGAACACTGAGGTGTGCTCGTGGTCGAGTAACTGTTTTATTCGCTGTGTCGAGTTCCTGTCACTCTTCTCTAAAATGGATAAAACAATCTGGAATTAAATACAAAAAAGCAGAGATGTGATCCCGTTGGTCGCCACCAGTCCGAGCTGCCTCAGCATTGAGAAGAGGCTCCTGGATATCCGCTTAATCCTCTTAGCTCCTTCGTTAAGCCTTCGGCCTCCACAGATCACACACCTCAGCTGGAGTGCAAGTCGCCAACATGTACAAAGTCTACAGCACTCAGCGGGATGATGACAAGAATTCTCTCAGCTCCTCCTTTTGGTCTGACGGAGACCGACGGGAAGGTAAGGAGGACGAAGAGGAGAAAGCAGTGATTGGCGAAGGAGACTTCGAACCTGTTGGCAATGCAGAGGAATCGTATAATGACGCTTCAGGGGAGGAGGTGGAGATCGGCGAGGAAGACTCCAAAGCTGTCGGTGTTTCAGGACACTCTTACCGGGAGGCTTCAGAGGAGGTGGAGATTGAGCGAGTGATCAGAGAGGACGACTCCAAACCTGTTGGGGATGCAGAAGACTCTCTCCAGGAGTCTTCAGAGCAAGAGGAAGAGGAAGACTCCACCTTTCTTAGCGATTCAGAAGACTCTTACCAGGAGGATTCAGAGGAGGAGGGAGTGGTGACTGAGCGAGCGATCAGCGAGGAAGACTCCAAACCTGTTGGGGATGCAGAAGACTCTCTCCAGGAGTCTTCGGAGGAGGAGGAAGACTCCAACCCTCTTAGCGATTCAGAAGACTCTTACCAGGAGGATTCAGAGGAGGAGGGAGTGGAGACTGAGCGAACGATCAGCGAGGAAGAGTCCAAACCTGTTACCGATGCAGAAGACCCTCTCCATAAGGCTTCGGAAGAGGAAGACGACTCCAAACCTCCTGGCTATTCAGAGGACTCTCACCAGGAGGAGGAAGAGGAGATTAAGCGAGTGATCGGAGAGGCAGACTCCAAACCTGTTGGGGATGCAGAAGACTCTCTCCAGGAGTCTTCGGAGGAGGAGGAAGAGGAAGACTCCAACTTTCTTAGCGATTCAGAAGACTCTTACCAGGAGGAGGAGGGGGGGGTGGAGATTGAGCCAGCGATCAGCGAGGAAGACTCCAAACCTTCTGGTGATGCAGAAGACTCTCTTCAGGAGGTTTCGAAGGAGGAGGAAGACTTCAACCCTCTTAGTGATTCAGAAGACTCTCACCAGGACTCTCAAAAGTTTGAACTTAACAACCAGGTCAACATCAGCGGGGAGAGTTTGGAAGGTGGAAATAATGATGACGAGGAAGAACGCTGTAGCAGCAGCTCTGACAGTGCAGCTCCGAGTCTGATGACCTCTGGCTACGGTACCTACAAACCAGAGGAACTGGAGGGAGGAGACTACAGAGACAACCACACAGAGTTTGATCAAGACAGTCGGGGAGATCTATCTGAGATGAGAGACGATGAAGAGGACGATCCTTCGCTGTGCAGCTTTGGCTGGTTTGACCTCAAACCCACAGAGCCGGACTACATCGAGACTGAAGCTGATGTGGCGCTTTGTGGAGATGATGATCTGCAGAAAGAGGATGACATCCCAGACACGAAACCAGGAGAAGATAAAGACCAGGCGAATGAGGAGACATTTGAAGTCGATCTACATGCAATGTCCGAGGATGAAGGGACAAATGCAACATCAGAGGAACGTCAATGTTGTAACACTGTAGTTGAAGACAAAGTGGATGTGAAGAATTCTGAAGGTGGGAGTGATGATGAAGGGGACAAACAATATGAAATGCTCGAAGAAGACATGCAAGACGGCAAAGAAGACAAAGAAATTGAGGAAAAAGTGGAGTTGGAGGATCCAGATGAGTCCTCAAGCAACAAAGACATCAAGTTTATCGACTCCAAAGTGGATTTCAGCCGGACGACGTTCGACAGAATGTGTGAGGATTGGGAAGGAAACCTCAGACAGATGAAGGGTAAACGGTTTCCTGTCTCTGTGTTGGAAACATCTAAGCTGTCTGTTCATATAAACTCTAACTTTGAAACAGTGTCAAAGTTAGGTCGTTTGAAGGCTAAAATTCGAGGGATTAAAACTTCATCCTAATAAAATATATATATTTTTTAGATATATTTTTTTATTTTTTTTCATCCTAAAATAATTGCTAATTTTAGTATTTCAAAAGTCCTAAAAAGTGAGAGTATACTATGTCAAAAAAGTCATATTGAATTTCTTTTCTTAATAAGTCATTGTATAGTGTTTCTAAAAAGTCATGTTATAGTGTCGAAAAAAGTCGTAAAAAATGTCATAATATAGTATGTTGAGAAAAATCATATAAGTCTTAGTATATATTAAAACAGTTGTAAAGAATGTTCAAAAAAAATCTTTAAAAAGTATAGTATGTCAAAAATGGAAGTATATAGTATGTTGAAAAAGTTGTAAAAAAATGTATTGCATTTAATATAAAGTTGTAAATAATTCATAGTATAGTATGTCATGAATATATAATACAAGAAATAAAGTCGTAAACCCTGTTGTCGTGTCTGTCGTTTCTTTCCAAACGCAGCGAGCTGTCTGGAGGAGCGTCTGGCTGATCTTCATCTCTCCTCATCTCAGCGCGACTTTGAGACGGAGATCGAAGACGTCGCCGGTCAGAGCGACACCCAGAGCTCAGAGACGGACGGAGTCTCTTTCAGTGCCTTTGAATCCTACATAAGAGGCATGGTGGGTAATGTAGTCTCCACTGTTTCATGTCTGATGAAACGTCTTGATCTGTCAGTCAAAATGATTGCCGTTTCATTTTGGACAGACTCAAACTCAAAGTGACGGTGACCTCAGGCCCAAACCCAAATCCTGTAAGTCAACACAAACCCAACGTACTAATTCATATTATCGCTTTAATGACAAAACCGTTTTATTATTCAACAAGACTAAATTATGTTTCAGTCATCCGACCAGCGATGAGTCAGCAAACATTGAAGAAGACCGACCCAGTGGCCAAGTAAGTTATAGATATAGTTAGTTATAGTTGTAGTAAGTTATAGTAAGCTTAACAGTTCTGAATTGACTTGAATTTGAATTTCCATTGTTGAAGAAAACCTAACAACAATATTTAAAGACATGAACACTCCCATTGGATTCATATTGGTGTTATAGATGACTCCTTTGTTTTCTCGTCTCTTGCAGGTATTTTGAGTACAAGCAGCACTGGGCCATGCATAAAGTTCCAGGAGAGGACCAAAGGAGATCTGAACGCAGGGAGATAAAGGTATGAAAACATCTCCAACGGAAAAAACATTTATGAATATTTACTTTCAGGCTCCCCCAACAGGTGCATAATCCTCCACATATTTTGGTTTTGACTCTTTTGTCCTAAAATTCAAACGATCTTTCCTGCTCCTGCTTTTCTAAGTCTGTTTTGTACACGTGGCTTTAGTTGTTAGAGATGTGTGACTAGAAATTGTTACTCCACATCTAAGGTAACTAAATACATGTTTTTTTTTTTTTACATTTTTGTTTTTTTTAGGAACGACTTGCATACCGACCTCCACCAGTAAGTAGCTTCCCAAATATTCTAAGTAAAAGTGCAACACATCCAGTCTCAAACCTGCACACCAACAATTACTCAAGAAATGTTACTGAGACACGTCAACACCACCTCGCAGTGTGAGCCGCAGTGTTTACAGACGGCTTCACAAGCTTCATCACATACAGTGAGGCTACGTCTTGTTCTGTGTTGCAGCCTAAACCTCGGAGGGTTTACGTGCCGAACACGTACGTCGTGCCGACGGAGAAGAAGCGCTCGGCCCTCTGCTGGAGGATCAGGAACGATTTGGCCAACGGTCTCCTTCCCCACAAATTCAGCCATGAATTTTAGATACTTTTAATTCAACTGTATTGTTTTTCATTTTTATAAATGGTGTTATTTATTGATGATTTTTTTGTAACATAATAAAACGCACACATAATATATTACAGGTCATTTTGTGTCATCTATGGGCAGTTTGTATGGGTGCAGAGAGGTGGATTTGGCGCCATCTAGCGGCGAGGCTGCATAATGCAACCAACTGAAACTTGTCCCGTGTGCCAAGCGTGTAGCAGAGATACGGTGGCCAACAGGGAAAGGCCTTCTCTGGAGCCGGAGTTTGTTTTTTTTTTTCCATCTGGGCTGCTGTAGGAACATGGCGATGCAACATGGCGGACTATGTGAAGAGGACCCTCAACTTATATAGATATGAAGGGCTCATTCCAAAAATTAAAAAAGCAATCTAAGCTAACGACAACATAACAATTCTTAGTTTTAGCCGATTATACACTGAGTATTTTATTCCATTTCTGGTAGAGATTTCCCTAAATCCTACACACTGGCCCTTTAAGTAGCTTGATTTAAAAAATAAAAAAAAAGCATCATTGTGCTGCTCATGATATTTGCCCAAAAAGCTGCTTTCCATTGTTTTTTTTGTCAGACTGCAGAGTGAACGGCAGGAGGCAGCAGATCCACAGAAATACAGGAATTATTTGCAAAGTTTAAAACTGACAGAAACGTTGAAGACTTCAGATTCTCACTTTGTTGCAGAGTAATAATTTTCAGCAGCTGTTTTATTCTTATAAATACAAAACTAAGGAAATGATGAGTTGACTAGTGGCTTTCTGTCAGGCTCATTAAGCTCAATAAGTGCATACATTAATAATGTAAGATGTGAACCAGGAGGTAGATTCACAAGCACAAATATAAAGACATTATTTATCTGCATATGAATGCCTTGAAGGGAAATTACACCCTAAAATAAAACTATAATGTACATCAGTCTGATCTTATACACATCTCATGAGAATGTACTCAGAACATTTACAATAAAAAGTGAGGATTCTGTTTCTTTATGAAAATACTACAAATCTTTAATGTCGATGTTTCAATTGTTTTCACATAAAATAAGAAAAGGCGTCCTGTTGAGTCTTAATAATTTGTGTTTTATAAAGAAATTGAGAGAATAAATGTAACTGCAAAGTAAATCCTCATGCCCCCCCCTGGTGACTTCACTTCTAAAATCAGTTTTAAGGTGGATATTTCCTTTCACATGAACGTCGTTGACTCCCTTCTTCTGTATTTCCACTCAGTGTGTTTTGGTCTTTGAATGTCTCTCTTCCTCCGTTTCCGTTATCCTGCTGCTGTGAGTCACATGGCGCCTCGTGCTGCCTTCAATGTCTCCGATTAAAGTCCGCAAAAACAAGCGTTGACACAAAATCGAACTGAATGCAACGCACGAGTTTCACTCAGTCAAACAGGGGAAGCAATTTTAAAAAGACAGAAAATCACCAAAATGTTAATGATTAAACGAGTAGATTAAATAATAATGTGGATATATATATATATATATATATATATACAATCTTATATTTGTTGTTATATTTTCTTATTTTTTTCTTGCTTGTGTTCTTCATATTTTAATCAAAGGTCAGTTTGCTGTTTGAATATTGATTTATTTTTTTCTAACATTAAATTAAAACAAAATTGAAAAGAGTCACTCACTGGTGAACAAAATGAATAATTACCTCCTCGGGAATTAAAAACATATTTAAATCACAGAGTTTACTTTTTACAGTCACGAGCCTGCAACTACGTAACTCCAACTTTTCCCTTCCATATTTCCTCCGGTCAGTGAAGGCAGCATGCGTCCTGGGGTTTATTAGAGCAAGACGCTCGGATCAGCAGAGTCAGACAGAAGAAGCCTGGCGGAGGTTAAACTGACCCGTTAACGTGCAGCAGAGAGGACAACATGTGATGTGGATCCTCTCAGATGGACGCTCCGCCGTGACGTTTACAACTCAAACTGAGAAGAGGAATAAGTTTGGACTTCTTGTCCTGCAGAGACACAAAAACACTCCGACTCGGACTGACTCGGTCTGCAAACTCTTCGAGGAGCGTGAGGACAACTTTTAGAACTTTTTTTTTTCTGGGACTAATCGTGTCGGAAGTTTGAGAGATGTCCGAGCCAGACAAGAGCGAGGACATTCCTGATGAGTCTGCAGGAAAAGGAATCCCAAACGGAGGAAATGCTGCGAAAAGCAAAGAGGTGAGAGTCTGAGTGCGCTCCCAGCTGATGCTTCTGCACCAACTAAACTCATTTGTGCAGCATGTTTGTTTATTTCACATGACAGCAGTAAACTCGTGGACTTTTGTCCCTTTTGCACCATAAAGCAGTTAAACAGTGAAGAAGACACTTCCAGTACATGTTTGTGATTAACTCCAGTAAAGTCTAAACTCTGTCAGGTCTCGGCTGCTTCTTCTGTTTCATCTTTGCTGCTCAAACTGTTTGATCACATTGTGATCTAAAGATGGACAGCTGGCTTTAAAAGAGACGGAATGATTCATTTTAATTTATGTGAATGATTAACACACAATTGTCCCCTTTTTTTATATCCCTCTAAATATATTTCGCAGTGTTAAAATCTATTTAATCTACCCTGTCGGACAGTCTCTCAAAGGCCACTTTATTAGGAACAACTAACCATTATTTCCATTGTCGATTAATCTGTATATTTTGTTATCAATTGATTTATCAGCACATATATTAAAATGAATATATAATAGAGTCCAAGATGATTTATGTTGTTGTTGTGTCTGTTGTTTGATGTTAAGTTCACTGTGATATAAAACAAATATTGGTGTGTTTTTCTAGAAAAAGGAAAATAAAATATTTGCTATTTTATTTTCTGTCGATCAATTAATAGTTTGATCTCAACAATTCTGCCCCAATGGAGCTGCGGCATGTTTGTTGACACTGTCAGAGGTTTGAATTCAACTATAAAATATATATATATATATATATATATATATATAAATAATGTATGAGATTGAGGTCAGAAAATGAAACCGGTTTCATCCTTTTGATAAATGTGTGTTTCAGGATTTTGACCTGGCTGCCATCTATGTATCAGACGCTCAGTACAACAGGAACATCTACTTTGACACGTCGCCTCAGGCTGTGAGGTGAGACATGCACATTTATAATCCAGACGCTTCATCTCCTGCTTTTTTAATCACTATTATATAATATAATATCATATTGAACTCCATCCATCACAACAGAACCTCTCAGAACCGCTGATGCTAAACTTGACGGTTTGATCCCCTCATTTTAAAGTTTTTATTAAGTCTGGTGGAATTGTTTTCATTTTTTTTTTCCTGTTCAGACTCGAATGAACAGTGGATGTATCTACTCGGCCTGTTATCTCTTCTTCCTCTGTGCCATAGAGCTCCATGGTTGTCTAGAAACTATTAAAAACTCATCAGTGAGCCTCACTTTGTCTCTATGTTCCTTCATCACCATAAACACACACTCTGTAGTTTATTTTGACACACACACACACACACACACACACACACACACACACATTGTCCTGCTGTCACAAACACTCACTAGAGCTCTAAATGTGTATTAATCCGCCGCTGAAAATAGTCTCCAACAAATCCACTATTTCCTCCTGTTTGTTTGATTTAAAAACTACAAAGACACTTCTGTTCTGTGATCAGTTAGAGGCTGCTGTGTGTCCCGTCTTGTCGGGACATACATCTGATTACACAGTCACATTGTGGGGGCCCGCCTTTTTGGAGGGACCAAAATGTGGAGGCTTGGTTTAAGCTTAGGTTAAGGTTAGGTTAAGGTTGGGTTATGGTTTGGGTTTGGGTAAGTCTTCAGGAAATGAATGTAAGTCAATGTAATGTCCCCAAAAGTCATGAAAACACGACTGTGTGTGTGCGTGTGCGTGTGCGTGTGTGTGTGTGTGTGTGTGTGTGTGTGTGTCCAGACTGTATCTGCGCTACAATCACTGGATCCCTAAGGTGCTCCTCTTCTTCTTTATCGTGGTGGATCTGTCTCTGGCCATCTTCGAGGAGCCGGCCGTCTTCCATGTGCCTTCATTGGTAAGATGGCCGCCGCCGTCTGACACACCAACGCTGTTCTGTTTTCATACTTCCTTTCTTTTTATGTGCACTTCATTGTAAGAAAAACAATCTACATTCATTCTGCAGATAGAAGAAGCTTTGTTTGTAGTCCTCAATTTACACAAGTCAAAACAAACTCTGAGGGTTTACAGTTCACACTGATTTATTTTCAGAGGTACTTTTTAATTTGTAATCGACGTCTTTCGAGCCAATTTGAAACAAGTATATTAAGTGGCCATGACCGTCTGATCTTTGATGTTTCATTACAACAGACTGAGGAGGATTTAAAGTCACCATCTGCAACACTAACAGCCTCATTAGGCAGAAAGGAGTGAAACCAGTTTAGACCAGTACCACAGACCAGTGATTGAGACGATCCATTAAAATCACATGTATCAACATGCAGTGTGTATGCTATTGTTTCTTTCAGTACACCATGCTGGTGGAGCTGCTCTGTCTGCTCGTCTTCACCCTCCGACTCGTTCACTACGCCAAAGTGATTCCTCGAGACAAGTTCTGGAAAGATCCCAAAAACATCTGCATCATCGTCGTCCTTGTGGTAGGCGGGGCTTATCAACATCAGCATTAGTCTGGTGGGAGGGGCTACTAAGCTGCAAGGGGAAAATTGAACTCTGAAATTTGGTTCTGATAAAAATGATAGAAATTCTGATAAATTGGATGTTTATCAGCCTCTCTGTCAGCCAGTGGCCACTCACGGTACTGCAGAATATACAAAACAAGAAAAATGCAGATCAACCAAAACCAGAACAATTGAAACCAGGACAAAGAAAACAGTCAAAACAAGAACAATCAAAACTAGAACAACTGACATCTGATCCACCCAAACCAGAACCACTGTAGGGAATCACTGAAGTGTTTCGGCTCGGGTCAGGGTTTCGTCCTGGTAACAGTTGGTGAGTCGTGCTGTTTGAACCCGGAGCAGTTCCTGGTTTTAGCTGTGAGCAGAGTTCCTGTCTGTGAGCTGCAGATTCAGAATGTGCTGAGAAGACTTTCTGTCTGTTGTTGTGAAACAACCTTTAGCCGGAGATGTTGCACCGTCAGCGGTGTTTTTTTTTTTTTGTTTTTTTTTTAAAGCAAAGCAGCTTCCTGGTGAATCAGTGAGGCGGCCATTTGAATCACGAAGTCATTTTGCTCAAAACACAAACTTACTAACTCGTGTTTGTAAACATTTAAAACAGGTGAAATTAAAACTGATTCCACCTAAAGAAGAAAAAATGCAAGAAAACCTTTCAGAGATGATGAGAAACTGAAATGTGCAAATCTACATTTAATTTGTATGAAACATTCAAATAAACTGTTCTGTGTTTGACTTCTGCGTGTCGTCCAGCTCACTCTGGTCGATATGATCATCTACGAAGCGCTGATAGCTACAGACTGTTACGCTGTCCGCTGGTCCAGAGTCCTGCGCCCGCTGCTATTGGTCAACGTCACAGAGGGACGGCAGGTAAGCTGTCTCACCTGTCTCGCCCGTTCTAATAATGTTGTCATGGAAATCAACTTTTGAGGTTATTTTAATATTTTTTGTTTGAGAAGAGAGACTCTTAAATCACTGTGTGTGTGTCTTTGTTTTCTTCCACTACAAAAATAATTTGTGTGTGTGTGTTCAGGTGTCTCGCAGGTAAACGTGCAGCGGTGTCTGTCCTTTAATCTCTGGATCATAAATGTGTTCAGTTGAACTCTGCTGTTTAAACTTCCTGCTGCCAAACGTGCAAATGTTTGACTCTCTGAGCCGACGGCGCCTGAACGCATCAATAATTAGTTGTTTGTGTCCTCCTTCATAAACTCTGTTTGTTTGTGTTCAGCTCCGCAGAGCGTTCAGAAGCATCCGGAACGCTCTGCCTCAGATCTTCTACGTCTTCCTGCTCTTCATGTTTAGCCTCCTGATCTTCTCCCTCATGGCGCTCAAACTGCTGGGCAAACGGTGAGATTCAGTCATTTTTAATCCGACACTTATGAACAGCTTTAAATGAGCTGTGAGCTGCCTGTTTTCTCTCAGAGGGAAACCTGTTTATGTTTGTTGGCATTGCGTATATTTAGGATCTGCAACACAACATTATCCCTCTGGATGAATTGAGTTGTATAAAGTCGTTCTCTAATCTGAATTCAAAGACAGTTATTTATGAATCTGAGGCTCAGTATTTATGTCAAGTTTTATAATGAAAACAGCACTTTATGAAGAAGTGTGTGTTTTCTGTGCAGAGGTCTGAAGACTATCGATGGCGCTCCGTACTTCACCAACTACCTGGAGATCGTCTTCGATCTGTACGTCCTCGTCACCACGGCCAACAGCCCCGACGTCATGTAAGACTTTAAGACAAACTCTCTTCACCGTGTCTTCACTCACCTGGTCTGAGGTCAGCTTTGACCTCTGACCTCCTCTACTCCACCACCCGTTTCAGTTTCCTCCCTTTAGCTTGAGGTTTGAAACTGTACAAAACATACAAAAGTACTTAAAAATTTTAAAAATCTGGTATTTTTGTACTTCCTGATGAAATAGAGGAAGTTTTTTCCACACAGCAAGAAATTAAAAATCAAATTAAACAATTTGAATTGTATTGAATTACAATATTTTCATATTGGTGAGAACATCATTAACCACCTTCACAGCATGGCGGTGTTACGGCAGCCATCATGTTTTAAAGATGTTACTTTATTCTTTTCTGTGAGGATGAATTATTATGAACTTTGTAAATGTCTTTCTGTAAGCGACTCTTTTCTTGTGTCCACCAACACGTTCTTGTGTCTGCAGTCAGAAGCTCTCACGGAAAAGAAGAAGGAAGTGACTCTCTCAGAAACATTCATCTGTTTATCTGCATGTTTTGTCTTCTGCTTCTCGTTGGCAGGATGCCGGCGTACAACGCCAGCTTCTACTTCGCCATCTTCTTCATCTTGTACATTCTCATCAACACCTACATCTTCATGTCCGTCTTCTTGGCCGTCGTCTACAACAACTACAAGAAATACCTGAAGGTACGACGGTCTGACAGAGTCTGAAACACGCCATGTAAACATTATATTTCATTTTAATGTTAAAACTATTAAAACTGCTGCAGACAGCTCTACTTCAACCGCTAATTTAGGAAAAAATATACAAAACATTTGGGTCCTCATCTTTTGTCTCATAGAGTGAAATGCTGTATCCAGTACGATATGCTGTCCCTCTAAAAGACCTATTTTGTACGAGTTTATTTTCTACTTCAGTGGTCAAAAACACACAAAAACATGTAGAAAAAGTGTGAGCCATTGACCTTTATTATCAACAAAAAGTTTTGTTTCTGAAATGGGCTTTTTACATTTTATTTTTTTGTTAATTTGTCTTTGACTCTCTTGTTTTCAGTTTTTTATTTTTTATAATCAAAGAAACTTTAAAAAAAAAAAACTAGTCTTTAAAAAGTAATCAATGGGAAAAAATATATATATGTGTATATATAGTGTGTTTGTGTGTGTGTGTGTATATATATAGTGTGTGTGTGTGTGTGTGTATATATAGTGTGTGTGTATGTATGTATGTATGTATATCTATGTATGTATGTATGTATGTATATGTGTATATATGTATATATATGTGTATATATGTGTATATATGTATATATATATATGTGTATATATGTATATATGTATATATATATATATATGTATAGTGTGTGTGTGTGTGTGTGTATACATATATGTGTTTAAAACCTTTGACTGACAAATTCATGTCTGGAGTTGAGCAAAAAGGAGAGCAGGTGTCTTAAAAGCATTGGTGTTCTGTCGCTCCACCAGGAGGAGGTACGGCAGCTGGTGAGGGCCAAAAGGCACAAGATGGTGCGAGCATTTGCCGTGCTGCAGGAGCAGAGGGCGGAGGGCGGGGAGCCGGTGGTGAAACAGGCTAACTGGAACCAAATTGTCAAACTTGTCCAGCCCGACATCAGCAACGCCCACAGAGAGCTGCTGTGGAGCGTCTCCGACGACAACAACCAGGGGTTCATTGGTGGGTAACACACACACACACTATATATCATTGTCGACACTCAATACATATGTGTACCCATACAAAGCACTCACTGGGTGACACTGAGATTATTACAGATGTTTTACTATAAAATAGTTATTACAGACTCTTCTGATCAGAGAAGACTCTTCCACATTGACTTAACTTTTAAGAACTGGAGGTTGCCGCCTGGCCACAACCAGCAACCGCAGAAGCTCTCTGCCCGGTGAACCACCTCTCTCAGCTTTCTGCAGAGCCACTATCTGCACACTCATCCTCCACATGGAGGAAGTCAAACTCTGCTTCATCATCTAGTTCAACTTTATTCTGAGAACAAACTGAGCAGAAGAGCAGATATCACACGAAGCCAGGTGGACAAAACTTTGTTTGTTCCACATTATTACACCGCCGTCAGTCTTTAAAACCATCATCATACGTTTTTAATTACAGGATGTAAACTCCTCCATTTAAATCATGCATTCACCCACTTCCCATAATAATGGTAACGTGTAACTTGCTGCATTGATGATAAACTAACCCTATAGAACAGACTAGAACGCCTTTAGTATCATTGCACCTTGTACAATGAAATTTGCTGTGCAGCTCCTGATACAGTACATTAACGTTTTACACACACACACACCTGCCTTACAGATATATAACAGTAATAAAACAAAAGCTGTGATAAAAGCCAAGTAGCATGTTAGGATGGTTTATTTCACCCACAATTAAAAGAGGAAACATGAAATGTATTTGATCTTTGTAACATGCGGTGCACCACGGGCAGCGTGTGGTCCGTAAATGACTTGAACACAAACGTTACATTTTATCTTACTGCACAATCAGCCACCGTTAACACTACCCTCAGTCATCATTTTGGCCCAGCCTCCAATCCATTCTAGCAGAGGCAGCTGCAACATCCACCAGAAACCAATCATCAATACATTTCATCACAAGTGTGTGTCTTATTTCTTTCAGCAGTCCTGTATACAAATACTAGTAATGGAGCGGGACTTCATTAAATAGCATGCCAAAATAAAATTATGTCAATGATTTCAGCTGATGCTTTATTAGAATAATGTTTGTCTGTTTCGTGTTTCTTACGAGAATACAAGATTTATTTTTTTATAATCCTACTAAACAGACGAAGGGTTTTTTCCCCCCTGAGTAGCGTCTGCAAACTTCCTGTCAGGCTGTGTCCCGAGGTCTGACAGGCATTAACCCGGGCCATAAAGTCTTCCCTTCTGTAATAGCTGATGTCAAACAAGATGAAAGTTGTAAGTCAGGAAACAATATTAGTGAGGAGGACACGTGGATGCCCGGTGGTAATTATTCAGTTTTTATTTCTCTGCTGTTTGAGAGAAACTTTCTGCCGGTAAACTCTGAAATCTCCAACTTTACGAGTTGAAAAGGAGCTCCTGAACACTATAAAACCTCGGCACGTGTCAGTCCAGTTTAGTTTCCTCTCATTAAGTGTGTTTACATGAACACTTGTTTCCTGGTTATGTGTCGCACATCACATCCTGGTTTTAAGAGACATGGCTATGCTACCTGGAGTACTCCAATAGAAACCAGGATACTGGGGTGTCATTTAAACACCTGATCCACGTTTCTGATCAGTCTTTGGTGCAGAGTATATTGAATGAGATGATAAATCAAAACACACCTGCACACAGGTGATCAGGCCCTGAAGTGGTAACATTAAGGAAGACACAAGACTGTGTTATTGTCTGTAAACTTAACGTTATGTCATCAGAATAATTAGAAATCAGCCATAATCGCATACAAATACTTTTAACAATATTTTATATGGTGTTTGTGATTTAGCTTTTTTGGTCGATTGATTGACAGGTAAGGTGGCGTTCGTCCAGCTGGCCGACCTCCTGAACATCGAGGTGATCACGCTCAAGTCAAGACCACACCCACTCCAGAGTGCATGCCCCGCCCTCTACCTGTCGGCCCCCAGCCGCCTCCTCTGCCGATTGATCCAACACCGGTGAGACAGACAGGTTTTATCTGTTTGTATAACTGATTTCTTTGTAGCGTTGGGTATCTATAAAATGATTTAT